CTGAAAGCCTAAAGCTTGTGTGGCAAGAGGTGGAAGAGCCTGTGACCCATTTGCTAAGATAACAGAGACAGTTGGGAAGTTAAAGTGAAGGTCACTATTCAAAGAACAAAGATGAAGAGCAAATGAGGAGGGTATAATCAAACTTATGTATTTCACAGGGAAAAAAGACTGAGGTATAGAAATGGTTAGGAAGTGGCCATGGGGAGTAAGGAATATTCTCACCTTTTATCTAAGGACGAGAGAAGTAATGACATACACTGGATAGGTCTGCAAAGCAAGCAACATTAAGAGTAATGACAGACAAAGAAATCTAATTTTAAGACTGAGGGTATCATTTTGAGTCGGAGAAAATACTTAAAGAATAAATGGCCCAATTTGACAGAAACCAGCTGGGTTTTCGATTGGCTCACAAAATTTAAACAATATTTATGATCCTCCAATGTCAGAATGTAAGCCACTAGGCAAAGAAACAGACATTAGTGCTTCTGTAATTCTTCTGACTTTTTTCTGACCTTTTGCTTTACGATTACAACAAAAAAGACTAAAACCAGTGCATGCTTTCCAGGTTCTGTTTATGGTGTAATTATTAGCAACAAATATTGAACTGTGTTGTTATTCACTTAGCAAATTATTACTAGTACTGTAATGTCTAATATTAAAATGACATTTTTCATTTAAAATTAATAAATTATGAAATACATTTATACTTCATATGAGAAGTTTTTAGTGTAGTCCCTACTTATCTCCTTTTATGGTACAACTTCTGCTCCATTCTGAATGTTTCCACCCAAGCTCTGCTTCCCTCCTTATTGCTGACATATGATTTACTTGCCTGTCTTCTGACCAACTACATGAATTCCCCTATAAACTCCAAATAAAACAGCATCTGGCTCTTCAGCATGTATTTCTTCCCTTAACCTCCAAGTTACTGTAGCAGTTAATTCAGATTTGGTGACTCTGGTATCTCTGTAAAGAAATGAAGTAGATGGTGAAAGAATTTGCTAGTTTCCCTGAATCTAAATTTTCTAACAATTTTTTTTAATTGTTAGGCAGCAGGTAGAGTGCTTGGCATGTAGTCGAAAAAAGCCTTGATTAATATCTTACCTCTGATATTTACTCACTATGTGACCATGGATACATCATTCAACTTTTCTATTCCTCAATTTCAATAATCATAATACAGGGAAAAATACCAGCAGTAACCATACCACAGTATTATTCTTCAATTCAAATGAAATAATGTATGGGAAGAATTTTGCAAAGATAGAAATCCTCCTAATGGAGTTTATCATTTTCATGTCTTTGGGGAATCCCAGATGGCACGTGTAGAAAGAGATGCAGAAGAGACCCTTGACATCCTTCCTCCTCACCTTGTTTTTTCCTGTTTCTTGCCAAGGTCTGCAGGACTGAGCTATGGTGATCATCATCTAGGGAATCCCTAAAGCTAAATACCATGTGTGAGAAAATTCCAGAGGAGGAGGCAGAATTAAGACAGTAGAGTGAGAGCTCGCAATTATGATTTAGTTCATTCATATTCTCCTTTACAAAAACAATAGAGTACCAGAATAAAGTCTGATGGGAAAAGGCAAGAAAAAATCACACTGAATCTGTTCCCCCACCCTGCCCCTACAGCTTATGAAGATGGAGAGGCTAGCAAACAGAAAGTTAACAGTTTAACTATTATAAAAAACTGAATTTAAAGCAGAAATTGTCCTTCAGCATGGAATCCCTAGGAATCATTTCATTTTAGAGATGAAATAGTGGTCCAAAAAGTGACTTGCCTAGGGTTATACAACTAGCTAAAACCATAGCCAGAACCAGATTTTCATCAACTGATATACTGGTGAGTGCTTTCTCCATGTTATTCTTTTTGGAAGACAGAACCTGTTGCTTCCCATTCCAAGCAGGGTTATTCCATGGAATTTCCATCTAATAGTTTGTGAAAGTAGTAGAATTGATTTAGGACGGCAGGAAGTTTTACTTCAGTATGGGTGACTGAACCATTTTCCATCAATGTTGTCTCTGTTTTTCAACTCATTCTTTCAACAACTATTTCAAATTCAACAATCATTTGAGCACAACTTTGAATACTTACTACTTAGGCATTGATAACATCACAAGAAAATATCAGGATGCCTGCCCTCAAGGAGCTTTTAACTTTCTTTCATTGTGAGGCTAATGGCCTAAATGAGTACTTTCTTGAAGGTAATTTTAAAATTAACTCAAGTAGACTGCTGGATTTGTCATTATAGGACTTGGGTATAAAACCTGGCTTTTCCTCCTGAATTACTTTGGACAAGTAATGTCTTTGGGATGTAGTTTCCTCCTCCCTAAAATCTGGGATATGTTGCAGAAATTTCAAACTGGTTGTCTCTAGCTAAAAGCAGTGCACAAAACTCCCCACTATTAATCAGATTAAAATGTAATTGAGAAATGCTTAACAAAATGCAGAAAAATACATCATAGATAATGCTAATTTGTTGTTATCTAAGCCAATATGTGACCCCAAGAAATGGATATATTTCTATTTTAGTTTTATAAAACTCAGGTTCCTTCCTTCACCAAATCTATGACCCTAGTAGAAGAGACACTCATTGACTTCTTTTTCTGTAAACAAATCCACCCCCTTTAGAGGTGCATGCTCTCTTGGACTTCACCCATGACTAGTATTGATTTAAAAAATAATTCTTGAAATCATTAAGTACTCAATAAATTTTCTCTCTCTCTCTTTCTCTCTCCTTTTTTCTTTCTTTCTCTATCCTTTTTTCTTTCTCTTCTTTCCTTCCTTTCTTCTTTCTTTCCTCTTTCCTTCCTTTCTCTTTCTTTCTCTCCCTTCTTCCTTCTTTCCTTTTCCTTCCTTCTTTTTTCCCTTTGTTACTTCATTCCTTCCTTTCCTTTTTCCTTCTTCCTCTTTCTTCCTTTCTCTCTTTCTCTTGGTACAGTTACTAGCTTCTAGACTTCCAAACTCTGCTCTCTCTACCTAAAACTTTAACCTTCTGGCAAAAAGGAAAAGAGTTCTTAGTGAAACTAAGATATCAGGAACTTTAGAAGTTAGAAGGCAATGACTATGTCATTTTATAATCTGTAATAGATAAGGAAGGGAATACTGGACATATTCTGCCTATAAGAGGAGAGACTTTAGAGAATACAACAATAAGATAGATAGGATCACATAACTGAAGTCTCTAAAAGGGAAGTAGGCAACTGGGAGAAACGCAAGACTCCCAAAAAGGAAATTCTGGTGACAACACAATTGATTTTAGAGGGAACAAAAAAAAAGAAGAAGTTGCTAAAGAAGTTACTATAGCTAATCATAGGTTATGGAAAGATGTACAAATAATAGAGATCACAGTAGACTATTAGTGTAGTGTCTGAAAGACTAATAGCCTGCATGAATTGAGGCAAATGATGAAGTCTAGATGATTAGAAAAGATATTATTTCAGTTTTCTTTTATGTGTATATAGGGTTGATGGGGTAATAATCAGAGAAAATGAATAGATTGAAGGAATGAAAAATTGTGTGTTTACCATGTGCAAAGTAGCAGGCTATAAAAATAGAAAATCAAGATAATCCCTAATTTCTAAGAGTTCACATTCAAATGGAGGTGCACTTTATATATACATATTCATGTGTATATGTATGCATGTATATGTATATATGTATACATGTATACATACCCATACACATATATACACATTTATACATGCATATATACATACACATATATGTATATGAGAAAGGGTTCACCCACAGGGAGGATGGAAAGACCCCTGGATCCCTAGGATGTGGCTTTCATGATGGAAGATGGAAGGCTCAGGGATTCTTGGAATGAAGCTTAGTTATGGGTGGTAAGGACCAGTAATATAAAGGGACAATGACAGCGCTTATGACAGGACAAATGGAAGGCCTTAGGATATTAATGAAACTACTCTGCTACACTATTCCTATTTTTCTCCTTTTTCTTCTACAGAGAAATACCTTAAACATAATAGAATAGGTAATTAAAAGACTTTATTGGATTTGAATTAGAAATGTTTTCCCTTTAACTTTTTATATTGACCTTTAAATACTTCATTGCCTTTCAAATCATTTAAAAAGGTCTAGTAAGGAGGAGCCAGGTGGTATTTTTGTTTTGTTTTGTTTTGTTTTTTGGCTAGGCAGTAGGGTTAAGTGACTTGCTCAGGGTCACACAGCTAGTAAGTGTTATGTGTCTGAGGCCGAATTTGAACTCAGGTCCTCCTGACTCCAGGGCCAGTGCTCTATCCACTGCACCACCTAGCTGCCCCCAGGTGGTATTTTGGATAAGCAGATTGAAGGAGAAACATTTCCATCCTCTTACGTGAAAAGCTAGAAAGATTAAAAAAAAGAAAGTCTAGATATTGCCTACCAGGAAATACAAACAGGGCTTGCTATTTTTGTAAGAGGGGAGAGAGGAAAAGTCTTCTTTAAGATCATGGGCCCAGAGTATCCCTTTTAACCATTTAAAGAAAGTTTTCTTTTATCTAAAATTCTTCTTTTTGAGGACTGTAGTTTCTTTTCTTTCAGTATTTTCTCAGTGAATATGAACATGGACAGTTAATGGTCTGCATATTCTATAAATCAGATGTTTTGTTTTTGTTTCCTGGCTATCCTTGGCCTTTATTTAAAATAAGTTGAAGAAACTATCCCCAGCCTTTCAGGCTACTCATAGTAGTCAGAGAAATCAGTAACAACAATAAAAAGAATGTATAAATACATACTTTATTTTATTGTTCTTAACTGGGGCGTTTGACTTTTCAAAAACTTTTCAGGACTGAGAGTATGTGCAAGGAGCAAATGGAAATGCCAAGAAGTGTCCCTATGGTGCACAAGAAAAAACACTAATTTGAAAATAATGTTTCAAATTCTATGGAATGCTGAAACAGCTCTTTTAATCTTTTAATGCCCTCCCTCCCTTCTTTCTCCCTGATGGGGATTCAGAGGAAGACTAACATATACTTTCATTTTCACTGTCTTGCATTACCAGTGAGTTAGAAGGACGATGGCTGGTGAGTGGGGATCTTTTCTGTCTATAGGGTGGGAGGATTCAAGCCTAACCTGTGGGATTGCTTTCCTGTTAGTAAACCTGGGAGTTCAGAGCAGATAGACACATCAAGGAATTATTGCTTTCTGAAGACTGTGCTGCCTTTTGAAGTTGGAACTTTTCTTATGCCAGGTTTATGTAGGGGAAATGATAAGGAACCAGGAGTTAGATCCCATCTCCAAACTTCCGGAAAGAGAGGCAGAAGAGTTATAAACTGACTTTTTAACTCTTTCCTTATGCTTTTTTGCTGGTTACCTTCTGAACAAAATTGTGTTTTTTTTTTTCCTTTCCTGTTCTGTCACTTTCCAGGAGTATGACTGATTAAAATGCTGAAGCTCTATAGGCCTGAGCATGATAAAATTTTATAACTGCAAGGGATAGTAGAATCTGTTGTTTCCCAAACTGTCATTTTATAGAGGAGAAAACTGAGGCCCGTTATGGGCTTGCCCATGGTCATACAGAGCAAGAGAAAGAGTCAGAAACAGATCTAGGGCCTCTGACTGCTTTTCTGATGTCTTTTCACTGTTATTAAAAGAACCCAAGATATAGTTCCAATCTCAAACTTCCTGAAATGGAGAAAGAGAATTCCCTCCACCTTGTATCATGAGCCCAAACTGAAAGCTGCCTTACTTTCTTTAACCAATCTCTTCTCCCCATCTTCCCGCCCCCCCATTCCACCCCACTCTAGGAAAAAAAAAATACAGCAAATAGTTACATTCAAATTCCGGTCTATCAAAGAGATTTGCTTGTGTAAGAGAGTGTTTTCATTTACAGAGAAAACACCTCAGCATATTTCTTTCTGAGAGCTTTTAAAATCTCTACTCTGAGTGCAGGGCACAAAAATTGCAGCTATAGTCTTTGGATATAGCTCCTGGATCACAGATTTAGAGCTATAAGCTTACTTGGGGGCTATCTTTTTCACTGTCTTCCTTTAACAAATGAGGAGACTGATGTCTATTGACTAGCAGATGTAGCAGGCAAGATTTAAAGTCAAGTTTTTTTCTAGCATTCTATCCACTATGGTAAACAGTGATGCTTCATAGCAGCTCAAAAACCTCATATTCTTTTTTTTTTTTTAAGGAACACTGTTTTTGACTGTTATGATTAGTTTTTTTAATAATGACTGTACCCTGTCAAAACAATGGAAAAATATGGCTGTCTTTTATGTTCTTTAGGCTTCAGTTTCATTGAATCATAGAACTTTTGATCCCTTAAGTTTCCTTCAGAATATCTGATTTAACCATCCATTTTACAGTTGATGAAACTGAGGCTGACAGTAAAATGAACTATTCTCTAACATTGTCAGAAAGTAGTAAACATGGACCAAACATAGGTGTTACATTTGTTTCCTATGCTAACTTTGTTTCTTATCTGTAAAGCGATTAAGTCACACTGGGTTATTTCCGAAGGCTTTTCTTTTCTGAAATGAGATGATGGACAAGATCTCCAAACTGTAAGTAACTCTTCTGCTGTGCTTTTAACAGAACAAAAGAAGAATGATGATCCAGTGAAGAAGGTAAAGACTGAGGCCACAAAAATTTTTAAAGATATTTGTGATGATTTGATTGAGCAAGAGGTTTTTAATACAAATCAGATGAGGAATATGAAAATACAATTTTCATCCATCAAGGACAGGAGCGAAGACTTGGTTAAGACTGTCACTCATAAGAGTGGCCAAATTGGCCAAATTGTTTTGAAAAGATTACTGACAGCCACAAGACAACTGCATTCAGGTAAGACTCAGTAATGACATTACCTAAAAGACTCACATTATGTCATCTCTCCCTTCCTGATCCCCCTTCTACTTAGAACTCAATAGCTGGCTTCATCACTATTCCAGAAGTCACAGGAAAAATGGATTGATTCCACCCTGAAGGTATTTCAGTTCTGGTATTCCAAGGGCCTCCTTTCATTCTTTTCTTGCCATAGCTTGCTGTCATCACCTTGCTATTATTTTCCTCAGCCTCTCAATCTTATTATTGGGTTCCAACCTGGTATCTTTCTTTTGCTTGGAGGACTCTTGCTCTGGAGTTTGGGTAATTCAGTAAGCTGAGAGAAATCTGTATAGTCTCATCCAACTTTCCTCAGCATGTGACCTTTGAATGTTAGAATTCAGATGCCTCTGATCCTTACTAGAAGTTATTCTATGGGCTAAAGATTTAAGGAAACCTAAAAGTGCTTTCCATCCCTTGCCTATTGTTACCTTACACAGTTTCAGTTCTTGGAGTATCATAGATGTAGCAGAAGAGATCTCAAATACTGAATCAGTGTTCATGTCATTTACTTAGTGCATAAGTTCTGATAATTCAATTGGCTATTAAAGAATAAATCAGGTCACTTTTTCTTGTAACTCAGGAATTACAGAGAAAGATGATTCAAAGACATGTAAGAAACAATGTGCTGTAATGTATAGATTACTGGATTTGTAATTAGGAACGTGAGAATTTAAATGTTGAATCTAATACTAGCAATGTAACTATAGGCAAGCCTCATGATTTTTATGACCTTTAAAAACTTTCTTAAAATAACTACTAAATGATATATTATATTCAACACAAGTTAAAGAAGTTCCCAAACCAACAAAATCATACTCATATTCCTCTCCTTTATTTATTTATTCATTTATTTATTTATTCACTTATTCATTTATTGACTCATTCATTCATTCATTTATTTATTTGTTTATTTATTTATTTATTTGTTGCATAAGGAATCCAAGCTGAAGATGAAAATTCAGAGCCAATAGAAAATGCAGGGATTTCGCAGACAGTGGCTTCCCTCTTATTAGGTAACTATGCCTGCAAAGCAAGAAAAGGATTGAAATCCACTTTTGCTACTCTCCTTCTTAAACTGTGAACAAACTTAGAGGGGTGAAGTACTAAGCAAAGATGTCCTCAGATAAGTGGTGTGATACAAAGGAGACTGTTGGGAGACAGAAAACAGAAGACCCGGGTTCAAGTTAAGGTTTTTCTTTCATAATGTGTATTCATGTTTGTAACTTAAACTAACTCAGTCTCAACTGCCTCCCCTAAAAAATGGAACTAATAATTTTGAACTTGCCTTTCTTTCAAGATCATTGGGAAGACCAAATTAAAAAAATGAATTTGGAATTGTTCTTATGCTTATATGTTGTTGTTTTTCACTGGTTTTCAGTCGTGTCTGACTCTTTGTGACCCTATTTAGGGTTCTCTTGGCAAAGATATTGGAGTGATTTGCCATTTCTTTTCCACCTCAGTTTACAGATGAGGGAATTGAGGTTAAACAGAGTTAAATGACTTGCCTAGGGTAACTCAGCTAGTAATTGTCTGAGGACAGATTTGAATTCAAGAAAATGAGTCTTCCTAGCTTCAGGCCTTGCACTCTATTCACCATGCCACTTAGTTGCCTCCTATATTATATTATACTCACATAATACAGTATAAATATAAGGGATTATCAATTACTCTACCACCAATATATTTTTTTCAAAAATGGTTCAATTACATTCCAGATAGTCCTTAAAATAACATCTCCTCTCAGTCAAGAGTGAGATAAGTTCATATGACAGAGCACAGAGGGATGGATATGAGAAATTCTTACTTTCCTGCACCATATACAATCTTATTGTACTCGATTTGGCCTGATTTCTTCAAATTTGTGCTGCCCATATTTTAGTTATCATTTAAGAAATAGCCACTTTTTATATAATTTTAAGCTAGAAGTGGCTTTAGAATCTAGTATGCCCTATTGATTTAATAGATAAGGCAATTCAAGCCCACACAGAAGGGAAAAGACTTGTTCAGTAATGCATAAGCAGTAATTACTATAGCTTAAATTCAAACCCAGGTCTTCTAATTTTAAATTCAATGTTATTTCCATTACATTGTATATCATTTTCCTTTAACCAACTGATCTTCTCTTTATCTTTAGCCACAAGCTTTATTATATACTCTACTTTTTTAAAGCTCCATTTTATTGTTATAATTTTTGTTTTAAATCAGGCTAACATTTGTCTTTTTCCGGTCTGGTAACTCATATCCTATTCATCAAAATATTTCAAGTATTACTAAAAGAAGGACAGGAATTGCCCCTGCCAATTCCTCTAGTACCCTAGAATTCCATGTTCCTTGGTCTGCTAAACTAAGTTTGCAGATATATGCTGTCTTATGAGATCCAGGCTTATTCTGAGTTTCAACTGACTTTTAGCCATTTTTTATTTAAGAAAATAATAATTTTCTGTATTTCCACAATTATGTATGATCATAATTTAATTAAGTCATCAAGATAATCTTTGCTAAGTACTTACTAGATCCTATGCTAAGTGATGGGAATATAATGGATAAAAGTGACACTACTTCTGCCCAGTAGGCTCTTTCAGTCTAATGGGAGGGACATTATGGCCATTTATAAGTAGATATAGAAATATACACAAGGTAATTTTGGAATGAAGGGTACTACCTGGAGAACCAAGAAAGACTTCATTTAGAAGGTGCTGCCTGAATTGAGTCTTGAAATAAAGCATGGATTTCAAGAGCTGTTGGTGAAAAGATAGTTTATTACTGCTATTAGTTACTATCAGTGCAAAAGGTCATCATGGGTTACTTGGTCAGAGAGTGAGAATAGTGAAGTTTAAGGTAGGAAGGGGAATGTAAAGAGATTTGAATGTTTTAATATTTTATTTGTGAGCTGAGAGGCAATAGGGAGTTAGCGGAGTTTATTGGTCAGAGTACCAACATGATCAGGTCAATGCTTCAGGAAAATCACTTTAATGATTGCGTTGAAGATTTGATTAGAGAAGACAGAGATATGAGTCAGGATGATGAAATAGAAGACTATTATAGTTGGTCAGGAAGGGAGTGATAAGAGCCCAAACTTGGGACATGACTGTTTAAGTATGAATGGAGAAGAGGGGGCAAATTGAAGACATGTTTTGGAGAAAGAAACCTTTGACTACTGATTACATGGATGTGGCAAGTGAAACCATGGAGTAAAGAACAGCACCAAGACAGCACAAGGATGTTAGCATCCTCAACATTAACAGAGAAATTCAGAAGAGGGATGGGTTTTGAGGAAAGCACAGTGATTTCAATTTTGGTCATCTTGAGTTTGGTATGCCTATGAAATATCTAGTTCAAAATGTTCAGCAATTAGTATCTTTTAGACTGTCAGCTCCTTGAGAGCAAAAACTATAATTTGTCTTTCTTTTTATCCCCAACATTTGACATATTATCTAGAACATGGTAAGTGCTTAATAAATATTTATTGACTGATTGATTACTGATATGTAAGTGGAAATCAGGAGAGAGACTTTATTGGGCTATATTTATAGATCTGGGAGTCATCTACATGGCAATAGTAATTGAACCCATGGGGGCTGCTGAGGGGCAAAAGAGACACAAGGCAGAAAGAGACAGGAAGGGAGAGAAAGAAAGAAAAGCAAGAGACAGACAGAGAGAGACACACACACACACAGAGAAAGAGATAAAAGGAGGGGGAATGCCTTGGACAGAACTTGTACACTCTCAGTTAGTGGGAATGATAGGGATGATGACTCAACAAAAGAGTCTGAAAAAGAATAACCAGATAAGTTGGAACAGAACCAGGAGAGGATAGTGTCACCAAGACCCAGGGTGGACAGACTATTCAGGAGAAGAGTGACCAACAGTGTCAAGTGCTGCAAAGAGAAAGAGGACAAGGATAGAAGAGTCATTAGATATGATGATTAAGAAATCATTGACATCTTTGGATTGATCAGTTTCATTTGAGAGGTGAAGTTGGAAGCTAGATTACAGGGAGGAAGAAAAGAGTAAGAGGTGGGAAAATGAAGTCAGTGACCATTGCTTTTTCAGAGAATTGGGCTGAGAATGAATGTGAGTGGAGATATAGAATAAAAATTAATGGAGTTTATAGCAAAAATAACAGTTTTTTAAAGGATGAGGGAGATTTGTGAATATTTGTAGGTAGCAGGAAGAGAACCAATATATAGGGAGATAATAATGATTGGAGAGGGAGAGATAAGATGAAAGTCAACCTATTAGATCAGTTGGAAGGGCATAGAATCAGTGATACATGTAGAGGGGTTGACCTCAGTGAGGAGAATGAAAGAAAAGAAAATTAATTATTAAAAACATACTATGCTCTAAGTAGTAAGAGAAAGTTCACTTCTGTAAAAATTATAATAATGGAAATAGTGGAGAACATACGGTGCCAAGAATTTATAAGAAGGGGAAAAGAGGAAGTTTTTAATGAGTATCATTTGTTTTTTTAGCAAAGTAAATGCATGGAAGTAGTTAAGAGGTTGGGGAATGGGATACTGTTTCAGGATTAAATAGGGATATTCTATAAAACTACCTCTATGGGTAAAATTGGACAGAGAGTTAGAGAGGAGTAAAAGGATTGCTTTGTTGGCATTAAGTAGCCAGTTGAAATTAGGTAACATAAGTTTACCTTTTACCCTGGCAGCAGCAGAATTCCTCATCCTTCTATGATTTTTTTCTAGTCCTCCAGTTAGCTTTCTGATCTTTAACATTCCTCACCACCTTTAACTGATTCATGATGTCACTACTTTGCTATACTTAGGGAGAGTGAAGACATTTCATAGTATGTTCAGGGTATGGCAGATGCATTAGTTTGTTTGGAGTGGAAAAAAGTTAGGAAAGGCTGGAGAAACGAAACTGGAAAACTATGCAGAGATGCAAATCAGAAAAAGACTTGGAGTACAGGAGTTCAAATTTTACCTTGTGTAACATGAATCTCAGGGGCATACACAACACCCCACATTACACTTGTAAGGAATAGGGAGCTACTGAGCAAGGGGATATTGGCAAAAGGGAGTGACATGAGCAAAGCACTGTTTCAGCAAGACTAAACAACATTCAGGAAACACTGGATCAGGAAAGATGAGAGGCAGGGAGGACAGTGAGGAGGTTTTTGCTGTAATTTAGAGGTCAAATATTAAAAGCCTAAACTAGTAGAGTACTGATAGTGGGAACTTAAAGGAAAAGAGGAATGTGAATGCATTCCCAAGGATAAAACAAAAAGAATTTGGTAACTTATAGGATCTAACAAGTAATATATTACCAGAATCATAGAGGTCTTTGAGGGTTGAGCATAAGGTGACTGAGAAAAATGGTGGTAGAATTATTAGATATAAGGAAGTCAAGAGAGGGAAGAGATTGGTAAAAAGAGATTATGAGTTTTAAGTGTCAAAGGATAACACCCAATGGTAATCAAAAGAAAAATTTTTTTTAAACTACTTTCCACTCCATCCCTGTGTTCTTTTATTCTTGTGAACATGTTTGTCATTCTCAGAGGCATTTCCTCAGAATAACAGTAGGGTCTACCAGAAGTACAAGTCAAAAGATATCCTGGTTTATTAGAATTTTTTTCTGACTCTTGTAGCACCTCGGCCTATCCAGACAGCTGAACCACTAAACAAGGTCAAGCTCAACCCTACAGATTTCTACCATGAACTGAAAGAAGCAAAGGATGAAGAGGTACCATTTTGGATGAATGATTATAAAGGAGAATCAATAATCTTCTTCAAGTATAAGGGCTGAAGAACTTCTAGTGGTTGTTTTTTATTGTCTAGAAATGCCTCCTAGGCATCCAAAAGCTATGGAGAGCTCCCTCATTTATCCATGTCTATGCCCAGGATTTTCAGTTTATTTTAATTCTTAGATCTAATATATATCCCTGACTTCCCTTTCTGTTTCCAAAGTTAAAAAAAAATCATGTTTAACCCTTGTTCTTATGCTGTGGCCCTCCTTCCCCTCATTGCATTTAAAAGATATGTTGTTTCTACCATGTGATGTCTTCTAGGTACTAACATAGAACATTAATTATACTGTTTATTTTTTTAAGAAAAACATTTATCTATTTGGAGGAAATCAGGGAAAGATTGATCTAATTGTCCTACAAGACAGGCTATAGTGTTTGCCACATGGAACATACAATAGTAATACAATTGATTTTATAGAAGGGAAAAAATCAACTCAATTCCACAAAATTTAGTAAGGACCTGTCTTATGTGAGCCACTGTGTGAGGTTCTAGGGATACAAAGATAAAACTCCTGCCCTTAAATAACTCGCTTTGAACTCAGGATACACAGTACTAGGGAAGGAGGACCATGGATAACTGGGAATGTAGTAGGGAAACTTGAACTGAACCATGAATGGAAATAAGGATTCTGAGAAGGTTCTTGGAAGTGACAGATTGAAAACAAAATAAAGCAAAACAAAAGTGAGGCCACACTAGCTGCCAAAAAGCTGGTATTCTTCTAAAGGGACACAATATGAATGGATTTCTTGGACCATTGATAAAAATCATAGGTTCATACAAGAATAATAACAACAAAAAGAGAGGCCAAGAGAAGTATTTATTTTTTAATTAATCAATTTATTTTTAGTTTTCAATATTCACTTCCATAAAATTTTGAGTTCCAAACTTTCTCCCCATGTCTTCCCTCCCCCCCACCCCAAGATGACATTCAATGTGATATAGGCTGTACATATGCATTCATATTGAAGCAATTTTCACATTAGTCATGTTGTAAAGACGAATTAGAACCAATGGGAGAAACAATGAAAAAGAAGAAACAAAATACAGTGAGCGAATAATATGTTTTGATCTGCGTTCAGACTCCATAGCTTTTTTTTGTTTTGCTTTGTTTTGTTTTCTGGATATGGACAGCATTTTCCATCATGAGTCCTTTGGAACCTGTCTTAGATCTTCACATTGCTAAGAAGAGATGTCTGTCAACGTTAGTCATTGAACATTGTAGTTGTTACCATGTACAAGGTTCTCCTGGTTCTGTTCACTTCACTCAGCATCAGTTTTCTTATCAGAAAAGGAGTGTTAAAAAAAAAGATCACTTATAGAAGTGGATGGCATGATGAGACTCTATAGTGGAAAGAAGACATCCCTGTTCAACTCTTACATAAGCAACGTTTTTTTCTTTCTTTTTTTTTGTTTATTTGTTTTTGCAAAGAAAAATTATCTTTGGGCTAGAAGAAACATATAAAAGTCTAGCAGGAAGTTAATAGAAAATATAAATGTGGGAATAACATAAAAGCACTTGCTTGTCTCCTATAAAATCATGTTGCCTTGTCTAGATAATCTACATCATCGAGTACCAAATTGGGAAATGTGATGACTGAATCATTACTAGTGATCTTTGAATGATTATGTAGGAGAGGAATATGGTGGGAATAGAGAAGAGCATATCATCTATCATTTTTTAAAATGCATAAATGGAGTTTACAAACCATATATCACCTGCAGCTAGATTTTTGTTCTTAACAGAATTCTAGAATCTATTTTTAAATAGATAGTGACCACAGGGGAAAAGAAACTAAAAATCACAAAGAGCCAGCATAGTCATGAAAAACAAACAAACAAAAAAAGCTTATACAAGAACAACCCAGTTTCCTTTCCTTTTTTTAATAAATTAGTAGATGAAGAAAATACTATAGGCCCAAAATGACATAATCATGATTATACAAAGAAATTCATAGAGTATATCATACTATTAAAGTCAAAAATGATAGATTTAGGATAGATGACGCACTTAGGTGGATTAAGGGATGGGTGAATAAATGGACCCAAAGAGTAGCCATAATGTGTAGTTAGTCTCTAGACTTCCTCTTACCAACTAACACATATAATAACTTGTTGAGTCTCTAGAACTCAATGTAATACATTTCTTCCTCAGGGTAGGTATACTCTTGAGAGATCTGGGTGTTTTTCTAATATTATCAACCCAAATCCTGTGAGGACAATTGTATGAACTGATGGAGATTGTTATAAGTGGAACCAGAAAAGAATATATAACTGTAACTATGATAATATTTCCTCATCTATGAAATAGGGGATGATAGCCCTAATGAAGTCATGACTTCATGTTATTCATGACTGAACAACAAAAGTAGAGCAATGTCCATTGAAATTCATTGCTTCTTGCAATACTCCAATAGCAATAAATCGGGCAGAGATCTTATTATCATTTCTTAGGATCACTTAGCGTAACAAAGCAGTCTAGTTTCTAGATGTAGATATATATATTATATATATGTATAAAACTTCTTACAGATATATGCAGTCATGGAAAAGGGAACCCGTACACGCCTGGCCCTCATCATCTCTAACACTAAATTTGACTACCTAAATGAAAGAAAAGAGGCTCAATTTGACATTCAGAGAATGATGGAGCTACTTCAGGACCTGGGATATAGTGTGGATGTCAAAGAAAACTGTACATCATTGGTAGGTGCTACAATGACACAGCACCATTGCCGATGCTTTCCTTCTCCCCAAAAGGAAGTGAATCACCAGTATGTGCACCAGAGGGAATCAATCTCATTTCCTTGCATTTGTTTCCATCATATAGAAAAGCTAAGTAGTGTAGGGGATAGAGTTTAGGACCTATAGTTAAGACCTGAGTTGAAATCTAGCCTTAGATACTTATAGCAGTCCTACATTGGGCAAGTTACTTAACCACTACTTAACCACTCAACCACACAGTTTCCTCCATTGTAAAATGGGGACAATAATACCACCTACTTCCCAGGATTGTTGTGAGCATCAAAAAAGATTGTATTTGTAAAGTCCTTAACACATTGCTTGGCACGTAGTAGGTTCTTTATGAATGCTAGCTGTTTTTTTGCTGTTTCTTCCATGAAAATTATCTCATCAAATATACTCATCCATATCACCTGAATTACATTAACCCCTCAGTCAATATATTTTTAATTTGTTTTTATTTATCAACAATCACTTCCATAAGCTTTTGAATTTTAAATTTTTCTCCCCTTCCCTTTCCACCTTCCTCCCCAAGATGGTGTGCAATCTGATATAGGTTCTACATATACATTTTTATTAAACATATTTTTACATTAGTGATGTTGTAAGGAAGAATTAGAACAAATAGAAGGAACCACAAGAAAGAGGAAACAAAACAAAACAGAAGAAAAGAAAGCAAATAGTATGCTTCAATCTGCATTCAAACTCCATAGTTCTTTCTTTGGATGTGGATAGCATTTTCTATCATGAGGCCTTTGGAGATGTCTTAGATCCTTGCATTGCTGAGAAGGGCCAAGTCTATTGACATTAGTCATCACACAATGTGGCTGTTACTATGTACGACGTTATCCTGGTTCTGCTCACTTCATTCAGCATGAGTCCGTGAAAGTCTTTCCAGGTTTTTCTGAAGTCTGCCTGCTCATCATTTCTTATAGCAGGATAATATTCCATTACATTCATATACCACAATTTGTTCAGCCATTCCCTAATTGATAGACATTCTCCCAACTTCCAATTCTTTGTCACCACAAAAAGAGCTACTATAAATATTTTTGTACATGTGGGTCCTTTTTCCCATTTCTATGACCTCTTTGGGATATAGCCCTAGAAGTGCTATTGCTGGGTCAAAGGGTATGCACATTTTCTGTAGCCCTTTGGGCATAGTTCCAAATTGCTCTCCAATTATTTCATGACTCCACCAATAATGCATCACTGTTACAATTTTCCCACATCTTCTCCAACATTTATCATTTTCCTGTTTTGTCATGTTGGCCAATCTGATAGGTGTGATATGGTACCTCAGAGTAGTTTTGATTTGCATTTCTCTAATCAATAGTGATTTAGAGCATTTTTTCATGTAGATGGCTTTAATTTCTTCGTCTGAGAACTGTTTGTTTTGACCATTTATCAACTGAAGAATCAGTCAATAATTTTTCAGTGTTTGTTAGGAAATGAAGTCAGTGTTGGAGGAGTTTGCCGACCGCCCAGAACACCAGTCCTCAGACAGCACCTTCTTTGTGTTCATGTCTCATGGCACCAATGATGTCATCTTTGGAATAAATCATAAACAGGAAGACCCAGATATTCTGGCCAATGATACCATCTTTGAAATTTTCAACAATAGTAACTGTTACAGATTGAGACATAAACCAAAAGTTATCATTATTCATGGATGCCAAGTAGGTGAGTTTTTGGTTATATATTATGCTAAACATGGCCAGCCATTTACCCAGACATTTGAAGGCTGGTCTATAATATCCCAGGGAGAAAGAAGCAGCTGTCTAGCCATAACTTTATGTTATTTACTAGGACAGGGAAATTGCAATAGACTTCATTAAACTGTATTTACCATGTCTCAGAAGCATCAGTGAACAAGTTACCTCACATATTGAGAACTTGTCCATCCTACTGGTAATTTGTTATATGTCAAACAGAGATCTATCCTTGAGTTTATATTTTTCTTCATTCCAAATCAATGTGTTCCTTCACAATGATAAAGGGGATTACCTTTGTGCATGTGAATGTGCATGTATGTATATGCATATTATCTGTAAAATATGCTTCCAAGGATAAAAAACTACTTTAGTAATCATTGTAGTTGTACTGTAACCAAGACAACTAACATCATTTTTACCCGTATGACTTAGGTATGGTTTCAGAACAAAGTGCAGTGGCAGCTTCAGCAGGCAGCTGTGCCCAGTCCTCCAAAGATGACAAAAAGATCTTTTGGAAGGATACTGTTGGAAAAGAGCATGTAGAAAAGGACTTCATTTGTTTTCACTCTACAACTCCATGTAAGTGTGGTCCCAGAAGGTAATTTAGAACTCTTTCACTACTCTTCATACACTGGCCTTAAATAGTCTCTCTTTTGTCCAATCAGAAAATCTACGTCCCTAGTATAATGGGAGACTTTAGATGACAGAGAGGATTGAAATCTAATTCTCAGAGTATTTTAATGCCCATTTTCTTTCTGCCTTGTTGATATTAAGGGGACTTCTCAAACCATTAGGACCACGATGACAATAAAGATAAGTCTGCTGAATTGCATAAAATTAAAGAGAAAAGAGAAAGAAAAATCACGGGCAAAATAATCAAATAGAATCAACAAATTTCCAAGTTGGAAGAAACCTCAGGTGTCGTCTAATTAATCCATGCCTGAAAAAGAGCCCTTTCTACAGCACCTGTCATCCAGCCTTTGCTTAAAGACTTCTAATGTAGGGAAACCATTACTTTCTGATAGACCTATCCCACTTTTGGACTGATGCATGCAAGTCTTTTTGTTTGCTTGCTTGTTTGTCTGTTTTTCCCTGTACCCAATCTATTCTTTCCTCTTTTTAACTTTCAACAATTGCTCCTAGTTCTGTACTATAAAATCCATCAAAACAAATCAAATTTTTCTATCACCCTATAAATAATCGAAGACATTGATCATGCCCCCTCCAATCTCCCACCCTGAGCTTTCCTTATTCAGGCTAAACATTTTCAGTTCCTTCAAACAAAACTCGTATGTCATGAATGTGACCCTTCCTCATATATGTTGTCTTCCTTGGATATTTGCTCGCTTAACGAATTTTCTTCTTATAATACATGTGTGTATGTGTGTGTTTTAACATTTAAGCATTAAAAGGACGAAAGCATTAACAGCAACACCAACAGCAATAACTTCATGAAAGATGTGAAATCAGTAAATGTAGTCAGTTATTGGTCTGTTTATAAGTTATCTTTAGTTAGTATCTAGCATTAGAAAAGTGGATGGGAATGATTCTCACAAGCATTTTGGGGACAGTTATAATGAGTAGAGTGAAAATTCTTACCTATTAAGTTTAGGCAGTAGAATATCAAATATTCTAATGAAGGTTTTAGTCAATTTCTTGCTTAAATATTGTTTGCAATCCCTCTAAGATAAATGACTACTAGATGGAATTCTTTACCATCAGCTTATTTTAGATAACATATGTACTAAGCCATGGAAGTTTGGTGGTTATTGGCTATGTCTCATCCCAGAGCTATCTCCAAGAAAGTACCAAGTGTTCTGAGGTTCTCAGAGAGTGGGCAGTGTTCTATCCCATTAGCTCCTCATGTCTCTAGGAGACAGGGTATATGTCATGACCTAAAGAATATATTCAGGATATCTTTATCCCATCATAATGTTTCTAAAGCTTCCAAGTACTGGCAATCCTTATCTCTTCTCCAAATCTGTTCTATCTAAAAGCACCTCAGTATTGCATGTCATCATGTAGACATGATAAAATGAAGCCAGCTCAAAGACAACCAGATGGGATACAACAGTACATAGTTACAGAATCAAGAAAAGGAACACAATCAGAATGCAAATTCAAACAGCGATTCCATGGAATGTGTGGTTTCAGGTTCTCTTAGCTAGTTTATAAACATGGACAGGAACTTTAGGATACAATACAGTTGCTTAGCTGTGTCAGTTCCTTTCCCCATGGGAACAATAAATCATGATTCATGTAATAAAACAGAATATTCATGTTGTGTTCTACTCATGACCTTCTTGAAGGCGAAAATAAGTTGAATATACTCAAGGATCACTTCCGTGGCCTGGGACTGATTCATATTTTTCTTGGAGGCTTTGGATATAGGAGTTTTGTCTTTGTTGTCTTCTTCTGGTTGTATGTTTTGATTTTCTTTGTCACCAAAGTAAGATAATATAGTCTGACTCTTTTTGTGCTGCTTACTCATGATCCTGGCCAATTACTTAAGTTTTAAAGTCTTTGTTAAGGTAGAGGTCTGCTTCCAGTGGTGAATGTACTGTCCCAAGCTTCAAGGGTTTTGTGCAGCTGTTTTCAGAGATACTTCTAGGGACCTGTAAATTTTCAGTTCTTCCAAGGTGATATGATAAGGGGTGAGGTGTTTACTCCTTTCCTGGTCTATGAGTGACCACAAGCACTCCTTTTCCTTGGAACTGTGAGGAGGATCCCCTTTCCCCCACCACTGAAAGTTCCACCATGCCAGCACTCCTCCTTGTCCCAGCACTGTCACCCAGGACTGTGACCCAGATCTAAGCATCGGGAAAGCAAAGATTCCTTCAGCACCAGCAAAGAGATCCCTGCAATGCCCCTCTGAACAGCCACTAGATTCCCCTTCAGTCTATGGGCTGAAAGCTCAGGAACCTGGGCTGCACTGGGACTGGGGCTGGATCTTCTCTCTCACTGAGGTCACAGACCTTTCCTTCTGACCTTCTAAGTTGTCTTTGGCATTTGTGGGTTGAGAAGTCTGGAAACCACCACGGCTGCCCATGATTCAGTCCCCTAAGGACTGCTCCAAATTCACTAAGGCCCTGCTTTTGCCTGGGTGGTCCATGTTGAACTGTGCCCCCTCTTCCAGCCTGGCACAATAGAACTTTTCAATCAACCATCCAGTTTGTCTTGGGCTGGAAATTTATTTCACTCTGTCTTTTTGTGGATTCTGCTGCTCTAGAATTTGTTTAGAACCTTTTTTTACAGGTATTTGGAGGGGTTTTGGGGAGTCACTGCTTTTAATCTGCCATCTTGGCTCTGCCCCCCCCACCCCTATTAAATTTTATCTGATTGGTTTTAGTCCCCTCCCCCCCAAAAATAAAACACTTATGAGACTTGCAATACAAGTTAAGCAGATATCCCATGAAATTATATTATATTGCTGCCTTTGGATGCACAGTAAAATCATCACATTTAGTGGACTTTCTGAGGTGAACCTGTTAGCCATTCTTCCATTCAATTACAAATTCCCTTTGTCTTGTGAATTTTTTTATAGCAATAAAAAGACTGAAAAAATTCAGTACATTCACTATTACATCCATTAGTTGAACACTGAACAAAAATTTCACATTAAAATTACAAATGACTAAGTTAATATTTTTACACAGATTACAAATTATTCGATTTTTAGTACCTCTTGCTCCCCTTTCCATCCTTCTGCCATAATTATTTCAGAAAAGAATAGTAGATACATAGGACTTAGGGACATTTAATAATTTTCTTTGATTCACTGGGGTCCAATCACCAAATAATTCATCTTTTATCATTGAGCCTCTCAATGCTGAGTTAGGTTGACTCCAACAAGGACAAAAAAATCTGTTATAGTAATTGTACTGGAAACCTTTCCAAAACTGGAAAATTCTGCAAGGATTTGCCCTACAGCCTCATAACCTTTGAGAACCTAGGGTCACTTTCACATAAAGATCAATAATTGGTTTAGGATCTTTAAATATATGTGTGCATATGTGTAGATGTATGTATATATGTTCTGATTAATGAATATTCAATTTCTCTTTCTCCCCCTACTGAATAGTAAAGAGAAAGGAAAAGAATATATATGTGTGCGTGTGTGTGTGTGTGCGCATTATATATTTAGATAGATGGTCAAGCAAAACAAGATTCCATATTAACCATTACATTTATTTTTCTATACCTATATCTATCTTCAATTTAGTAAATTTCCTCTTTGACAGGTCAGTAGTGGGTTTCATCTTTAGTCCTGTGCAATCATGGTTTACTATTATACTTATCAGAGTACTAAAGTCAAAGTTGTTTTTATTTTGAATGCTGTTATGATTGCATATTTTTAAAAATTTCATTCTGCATTCACAAAAGGTTTAGCAGTTTTCCTAAAGTAGTCCATTTAGTCACTTATTTTCCCTCAGTAACATTTTATTATATTCATAGACCATAAATTGTTTAGCTCTTCCCCATTAATTTAACACCTTTTAGTTGTTTTGTTTGTTTGTTTAGCTTTTTTTTCTTCCTGCCAGGAAGAGAAAGGCTCAAAATATCTTTGTACATATGAATTATTTTCCTCTTTCTTTGATCTCTTTTGGATATATGCCAATGAGTGGTATCACTGGGTCAAAAGGTTAGTTCTGGATAGCAAAACTCAGGAACAAATTGCTTTAAAGAATGACTTTACCATTGTACAATTTCACTAACAATGCATAAATCTTTCTATTTTCTCACATATTTTCTAATATTTGTCATCTTCTTGTTCTGTTTTTTTTTGTTTTTTGTTATTTTTGTCATAGATCAAGACTTTGTGAAGAGAACACACAAAGACAAAGATATATAAAGAGCTAATGTCCCCATTACTTCTGAAAATACACCAAGTCAAGTCTATTTACCAAACATACCATTTTACTCCAACTATCTCCAACTATTTTAACATTTTCTAAAGCACAATATTGTATCATCTAAGTCCATAGTTCCATTATACAAATGTTAGATTGTTCCTACTTACCCTTACAAAATGATAATTATTCTGGGTTCAAGAAGGTATAATCTATTTGTAATTTATAACTTCTATTTATAAAGTATTGATTTCATTCAGTAATTTATCTGTTTGCACAATATCTTGCACAGTGACATTTTGATAATTTAAAAAAATAATGTTTAGTTGAACTAAATAAGACTCAGTTGAATTGAACTGGTTCTCCTGACTACTTAAGTCAGACATAAAGTAATAAAGCTACATCTCATAGTCTAATGTCAAAAAATAAAAGTCAGGACCTTGAATTTTATTATACCATTATATCCAGATGACATTTCTTTGGAAGATGATCAAGTGGGTTCCCTCTTCATCAGCCTATTCATTGATTGTTTCCAACAATACTCCTGGTGCTGTCATGTGGAAGAAGTTTTCCAGAAGGTTGGTAGACTCTATCTGGAATCATCTATTGCTGGGAAAAAACAAACAAACAAACAAAATCCCTCTTTGTTCACTTCAGATTTTCTTGTAGAACTATTTGCAAGATATCCAGTACAGAGCCAGATCAAGATTCTCCAAACAAATAATCAAATATCCATTTATTCTAATACCTACACTTCTTTCCCAGGAGCTATAGAAAAAAAGATTCATTATTAGTGGATATGTCTGAGAAAGTATTAAAGATTTGATTTTATCCCAGCATTTTCATTATAAAAATGTACACTAGATTTAGTTTACCTCTAATGACACTCCATTCTCTTTACTGAATTTCTTTTCTGATTTTCTGAGACTTCCCTCTCTTATTTGCTTAGTGACAAGATGCTGCCTCCAGTACATAGACTCCTTAATATAATGATGTGACAGGAACTCCCATTCCTAATTTTACCTTTTCCTGTTCACTACTGGTCCCACCAAATTGATTTTCCTTCCAGATGTTTACAAACATCTCTCAATTACTTTAGGTCCAAAAATCATTTGAGACTTCACAAGATCCAATCCAGATGCTCATCATCGAAAGGCTATCCATGACAAGATACCTCTACCTCTTTCCAGGAATTTAAAGCTATCCAATGGCACCAGACTTTTCTAAACTAAGGTAAATAGTTCCAAGGGGTTAGAAGCAAGGTTTTCTTACTCGGAGTCAACAACTAGAAATCTTGTGAGGTGGTGGTGGGTCTATTAACTTGCTAGCTGGCAATCTCCAATTTCTTGTGTGTGATTAGGTGATGGTCAGAGTCACCTCAACCTGATTTTATTTTTCTTGGTCCATTAAATGATTGTGAAGGTGAAAATGAATCTAACATTGCCCCAAGTAGAGTAAACTTATGATTTTGACCTGACAAATGAAGTCCTGATATTCAGATTTTGGATGTACTCATGGAGGGAAGAAATCATCATGTTGTTGATTTCAAACTGGTTCTTAAGAAGTCAATTTGTCAACCAGGGAAACTTCTTAATACTTAAAGTCACAATTCTGATTTGTGATCCAGAGTACTTATGTGTAAAATAGTCTTTACTTCAGAGTGGTGAGGATCATTTCGCAATCTTATTTGGGAGAAATGTAAGTGCTGCTTACACCACTTAAATTTAATATTAATATTATTTATATAAATTATTTATATAATTTATTTATATTAAATATATTATTGTGCATTAAAATACATATATTAAATTATATCAAATATATTATTATATATTATATTGAATAAATATATTTATGATATTTATACTATTTATTTAAAGAATATTAATTATTTCTGTAAATTAAATTGTGTTCTTTACTGACTTATTATCTTCATTACTGACCATTCAAATCTTCATCTTAATTAGGTATGACCACATCATCATGCTTTTATAAAGGGTTATATTTCAGCAAATCCTGTCTCTGTGCCATGATTGTTCGTGGTACTACACTTCTTTCTTTTTTATCTGGGAAGTAGTACGCTGAGTAGTCATGAAGTGCTTGGTCTTTTCAGAAGGACATTTCCTTGTACAGAACTTTATTTTTCCCATCCTCTAACTTCATGATGGTTTTCCCACAAAATGTTTATCCCCATTTCAACATGTTTGCATATGCTTTTCCCCAAAATCCTATAATGGCCAGATTAAATAAATTCATCCTACAATCCCTGTCCCAAATTTCACATCCTCCAAGACGTTTTCAATGATATTTCAATACTTCCATAAATTTAAAATCATATCTTGGTACACTGTATTACATTCTATTAAGGGGTTAGCAAACTACAGTCCAGGGGACAAATTTATCCAGTAAACTAAGAATTTTTTATATATTTTAAAATAAATTTGATTATGCCTAAACTATAGTTGAAACATTTTTAGTTCATGGTCCTTACCAGAAAACAAGTTGGAAAAAAATGTCTCTCAAGCTGTAGTTTGCTTTCTTCTGCTCTGTATAATTTTTTTTTTAATTTCAACTATTTCATTTGAATATACCTTAATGTTTCTAATTATTTTGTCAAATCATTTGAGAGAAGGTATGGTGTCTTCTATTTCTTTTTTTTTTCGTAATATTTCTTAGAATAGTACTGGTCACTAGAATTCCTTCAATTATTAGTTCTGAAATTGAATGTAATATACCAATTTGATCCTGAAGCAGTTACTGACTTTTTTGGGGGGTCTAGGGAACAAAACAACCTACAGGTGGTTAGTGACCTGGTAAAGACTAAAGCTTATTTTTAAGAGTTTTATTAATGCTTTTTTTCACTTTGACATCTTAGTCTTTTATAGATATAAAGTTTCCTTTGACGATCTAGGACACTTTCTTTTCTGACAAAGAAAAAAAATCAGTTATGATACAGACGAGGGGGTTTGCCAGACTATGCAGCATTTCATATCCATAGTTGCCCATTTCTTCAAAGAGATTATCTAAGTACATTTTTTCATTTTCCCTCAGAGGCTAATATTGGTCATTATAGCAGCAAATTGTTTGAGTTTATTTTTAGTATTCTTTTTATTTACACTAATATAGTCATTGCATATACTGTTTTCCTGGTTCTGTTTACTCACTCTCTGTCACTTCTTACATTTGTTAGAATTCATCATTACCATCATCATCATCATCATCATCATCATTTTTGAAGTGGGATCTCCCTATTTTGCCAAGGCTGGAAATGCAGCAGCCACTTACAAGCCTATTCTTGCTGCTTATCAATATTGAAGTTTTTACCACCTCTATTTCTGACCTGAATTAGTTTGTTTCTTCTTAAGCGAAAGAAGATCCCTCACTTCCAGGGATGCCCTATATTGGTGCTTGACATTTTTGCAGATATCAAATTACCTTTAACCTTACTTCTATTCAGGCTCAGGAGTTCATGGGATCCACCAGCCTTGATCTCAATTTTAGGGATTATTCTCACACATACTCACACCAGTTACATCATTTCTCAATATGCAATTATATATCCCATCAAATTACATAACATACTGCCCAACTGATTGCACACCTTCTTTTTTTGAGTTTTAAGGTGCAGCTCTGAGGAATCAGTGTCTCAGTCTGAAAATTCCTTCATCCCTCAAGAGGCAGGAGATGCTGATTTTGCCACATCCTCAAAGAAAAGAGAGAGCAACTGTTTGGACAAGTGAGAGCAAAGAACAACACAAAACTAGATAGAGGTGAAAGAGTCTCTATGCTATGAATTTGAATACATGAGACCCCTTCAGGGGATTCAGTATTCACACAAATTGGGACCTTACTGTACCCACTTCAATATAACCTTGAGAAATCAACAGATCAACTCTGCTGGAATTGGACTATTATTACCAACGGAACTGTTGCCAACAATAATACAGCTAAAATGTGGATCCATAAAAATCATTAAGAATGACATTTCAATACATGACACAAAAAATTTTCAAAATATAGAGAAATAGCAAGAGGAAACCAAGCAAGAAGAAAACCAAATGGAAACAGTATAAGAAATAAAAAAAATCACTTAATCCTGTCTGATATAGGAGTTGTACAGATCCTGCTTTCACATTGAGCTTACAGATATGCTTATATCTTAATATTTTTATTCTATATTAAAAAGTAATTTCATCTACCTATCCAGTAGCCTGTAGAACATTATCTACAAAAGAATAATAGCAGGAAATTTTGTTTTTCTGGGACTGCTTCTATATGAACTCCTCTTGAAAAAATGAGATTAAAATAGATGATTATTATTGTGGTATTATTGTGGTTGTTCATAAAATAGATCATATTTGTGTATTTTTTTCTTTAAATAACATGTGGGATAAATGAAAAGCCCAAGAGACAGAGTTTCTGGGTAATTTAATAAAAATCAACCTCAATTGATGAACAATTAATGAAAGGGCAGACTTATTAATGAGGAGGTGGGCAAAAGTCCTCTTGCTGAGAACATGGCTTGATCATGAGACTCAGCCACCTTCAGCAAACTGGACAAAGGAATCCATCTCTACCCATACCACTTTGGTTGATTTTCTCCTTCATATGCTGAGTTCCCCTAGACTGCAAAGGAGGGGTGCAAAGCCATGGGCTCAATGCTTTAGGGCTGAATGCACCTAGATTAGATTCTTTAGATAACTCTAAACAGAAGTAAGGTCCCCTAGTTTGGTGGGGTCTGCCCAAGATTGTGGAGCATGTACCCCGAGGATTAGGCCAATCTCATCTATCAGCCTTGTCCTTCAGAGACTGGCCGAATGACTTTCAAGGGTTGGTCCCGAATGAGGAAATAGAAAGAAAAATATCTTAATCCTATTTTAATAATTGGTTATTAATGTAACAAGAAAATAATAACTTTTTGAGCATATAGCCCTTTTATCAGAGACTCAAGATTCTGGTGACCTAGGCACTCTTTGAGGGATGTCCTCATTCTTTGGGATTATAGCTTACAAGAAGGAAATGTGGGAAAATGTATGCATATTTCCCTTTCCCTAACCTTCTGAAACACTTGCAAGTGCTCATGTTACTTTCCTCTACCCCTTTAGGAGAGGGTTTCTAAACCTATGATTTCTTCAGTGTGGGAAATTACTTATTATGTAAACTCTCTTTATCAATTTGGATCAGAGAGTTGCCTGAGGAGTCCTGAGTGGTTAAACTTAACCAGCATTACACAGTCAAGACACATCAGAGACAGAACTCCTGTTTTGTTTTGTTTTGTTTCCCTGAATTCAGGCCATGATATCAATCTATAACACCATGCTATCTCTCAATCATTTAGAAGATAGTTTTGTTAAATGGAAGAAAGCAAAGAGACCCTTGAATTAGTAACATTAGTCCTCAAATGTATATAAACTTTCAGAGTCACGGTTCTTTTTTTTTTTTTTTTTTTTTTAGGCAATTGGAGTTAAGTGACTGGCCCTGGGTCACACAGCTAGTAAGTGTCTGAGGCCAAATTTGAACTAAGGTCCTCCTGACTTCAGGGCTGATGCCCTATCCACTGTGTCACCTAGCTGCCCCTTAGAGTCACAGTTCTTGAAAACATCCACATAAACCCCCCCATCCCTCCCTTTTTTATCCCACTCCCACCCCCACCCAAATCTAATCTTGGCTTTGCATTTATTTATATTGCACTCTCTCTCTCTCTCTCTCTCTCTCTCTCTCTCTCTCTCTC